ACTGAGGAAGAAATCTCCCACGAAAGGCGCGAGGAGCACAGGAAGCGCTGTTTCTCTTCCTGGTGTCTTTTATTCTGCTTAGAGAACTACGTAGCCGGGAAGCCATGAGATCCTGGAAAAGAAGGCCAAGGGTTTTAAAGGGGGGAATCTGCGAAAAGATCTGCGTCTAGGTGACCAGAAACTACTGGTAAGTGAAGCCTCTCTTCACCTTCAGCGTGGAGAGCTGAGACCAACTTGAGAATGACGGGACAGATCTAGCAAATATGCCAAAGGAAGAACCTAGGCCCTTTGAATTTGAAACCGCTGAAAATCATATAACTGTTTTTCATATAGATATATTCATCCTGGATATAGATAACATAATGGCTTTTAATACACATTTTGTTTTGGAAATTCTGGAAAACATCTTAATAGGAGGAATGTTTACTCTTAAGTCTGCAGTAGATTTGGACATGGCAGTAACACTTTACAAATTTATCAGATTTGTTTTAAGAACCATCTCCTCTGCCCCCAAAAGTAAAGGAGGGCGTATAGCAGTAAATACTCTGAATTACTGCTACTGAAGAAATTCTGAGCCTGGTGCAGTGGCAGGCACTTGTAGTCACAGCTACTTGAGAGGCTAAGGCAGGAGGATCACTTGAGGCTGGAAGTTTGAGGTTGCAGTGATCTATGATCATTCCTGTGAATAGCTATGCACTCCAGCCTGGGTAACACAGCCAGACTCCATCTCTGAAAAAAGAAAGAAACCCTGAACCAGAGGAGCAGAGCTGCCACAACTTAGTGGTGGGAAGAGGGCAGAGCTGCTCAGGGCAAGATATAGGCCTTGAATGCCAATTCCAGTCCTTGGCCATTGAGCAATGTGTACAGTAGAGTTTGCTTTCAGGAGAACCTGCCCTCCACCTCTTCGTCCGCATTCTTCTACCTAGATAATATACCTAAAGTAAAGTTCTGCACTCTCCACACAATCTTACAGGACATACAGAACATATCTCCTGTCCAATAATGACAGAAACACTTGATTTTTGAAGAGTAACAGTTACAGCATGGAGTTAAAGAGTAGAAGCAGTTTGAGGGCCCATTTCAGAGTCCTGGTTGAAACGAAGGTTGAAAAGTATAATACAGTACAAGTGACTTTCAGATGAGTGTCTTATCCTATCAGGGATAAGAATTGTGGTTGTCAGCTGGACTCGGTGGCTCAGCCTGTAATCCCATGCCTTTGGGAGGCTGAGGTGAGTGGATTGCCTGAGCCTGCGGGTTCGAGACCTGCCTGGGCAGCAAGACCTCATCTCTACAATAAATTAAAAAAAAAAAAATCAGCCGGTCATGGTAGCGCATGCCTGTAATTCCGGCTATTCGGAAGGCTGAGGCAGAAGGATCGCCGGAGCCCAGCAGGTCGAGGCTGCGGTGGCCAGGAGCAGCCACTGCACTCCAGTCTGGGTGACAGAGTGAGACTCCAACTCAAAACCAAAAAAAAAAAAGAATTGTGGTTGTCCTAACTCAAACAGCAGGACTTAGAGACCTGCTTAAGTGGAGGAGTGAAAATTATTGTAGAGAAGAATGATCGCATTGACAATTCACCTCCAAGAATTGCTATGTAATTCTTTGTCAGCTACTGACAGATGGAATCCTAAACTGGGAGCAGATCCTGAAATACAGTGTCACCATCAGAGCTACCAACAAGGACAAGCTGTTCCTCTCCTCCAGTACAAGCTTCACCCTGCATGTCCTCTACATCAACAAAAACAGTCTGATTTTCAACAGGCCTTCTATCTGTTCCAGGTAACCAGGAACACCTACCCAGCACCACCATCGCACTTCCCACAGGGTTTAGGGCTCTGGGCACCTCCTGTTTCTTCCTGACCAGCGACCTGGCACATGGGCACTGTTGTTTATGTGTCAGTGAGCACAGTGCAATAGTGTTCATACAGACTACCTTTGATCTGAATTTGCTGGCAAGTGACCACGGTTTGACTGACTGAGTGTCATCCTGAGCCTGCCTATGATGGTAGACAACTTCTATGAAGTTCTTCTTTGACACTGTACCACTTACATTGCAATCTGGCTACCTGGTCCCCAAAATGGATGCCAACTGGCACACAATTCCTGACTGTCGTATCATGTGCCTTAAGTCAACTAACCAGCTCTTCAGCCTAAGAATATTCATGAGCTAGATGTGCACTGCACCACTATGAGTAACACAGACACAGCCTGCAAGAGTTTGTTGATCGTTGAGGGCACAGCAAGTCATTGTCCTGCACCAAGTCGTTGCCCACAATTTGCAGGAGTTGCTGCTGGACCTCAGGGAAAGCCTTTCACCTGACACTAGATAGAGTGAGCTGTAGTTTTACCTGGTGGTGTACTTGTTTCTCCTCGAAATGACTCTTGGCACCTCCCTAAGCCTGCAATGCTCCTCTAGCCCCATTGCCTAGGGTTACTTTCAGTAGTCTTTGGTCCAAGCATGAACTCCTGGACTCCATGACTTAAAGGAAGCAGATTTGCCCTGTTCCTACGATCTATATGTGGCTTCAGATATTATAAAATCTTAATGTCTTCACATTAAATCAAGAAACATCTTTCAACTTGATATTCTCTGTAGCGCCAGCAATGAAGATTTAAATATTACATTGGATTCAAATGTATTCATGTGAGTTTTAATATTTTTATTTGTACATGTCATCCTTTTCTAAATCACTCCTTTTTTGTTGTTGTTGAGAGTGGGGAGCTCTACAACTTTACTTGCAAATGTTTATGTATATTTTAATTTGCCTCATTAGCTTCTATCTTGGGCGATAATTTTGTGCCTCTTCATATATAATGAAAAGTTACATTTTTTGTTAAAAAGTCCCTTCCTTGCAATATTGAAGGAGATTTTTGGATCTTTAAATTTCTACCCTTGAGCTTCATATACAGGTCTTTGGGAAACTAAGAAACTGTAGATTTGGTTACTATTCCTGTGACCTTTGATGATTTTCTTTCTTTCCTTCTTTTCTTTTTTTAACTAATTAGTTTGCTTTTTGAGTTAGAATCTTACTCTATCACCAAGGATGGAGTGCAGTGGCATGCTCACAACCACCACAGACATGACCTGCTGGCCTCAGGCGATCTTTCCATCACAGCCTTCCAAGTAACTGGAACCACAGGCACGTGCCACCACACCTGGCTAATTTTTTGATTTATTGTAGAGATGAGGTCTTGCCAAATTGCCCAGGCTGGTCTCGAATCCCTGGGCTCAGGCAGTCCTCTCACCTTGGCCTCCCAAAGTGCTGGAATTACAGGTATGAGCCACTATACCCGGCTTATTTTTTAATTTTTAATTATTATTTTTTTGAGACAGTGTGTCACTATGTTGCCCATGCTAGAGTGCAGTGGCATGATCATAGCTCACTGCAACCTCAAACAACTGGACTCAAGTGATCCTCTTGCTTCTGCCTCCCAAAGTGCTGGAATTTTGGGGTGTTCCACCACACCCTGCTTCTATCCTCATTTTCTGAGCGCTTCTCAGTCATCCATGGGTTGACTGCCAGTGTCTGGCTCAATTTGCTTCTGAAAATATCAAACTCTGGCATGCAGATAGCATACTTCTCTAACTTTTGGGTAAAGAAATAAATTAAGCCTGAGACATTTTAATTCATAACCCTTTGCTAATACTGCAATGAGGAAAAGAAGGATGGCAACATCCTCATCTTCCTAAATAAAAAATACTCCGGTTTAAGAAAACTAACAAACTTCATGCTGGCCTGTGTGATACAAGATTCAGTATCACTAAAGAAAACCACATCATGGCTTAAAAAATAAAAGAAAATATCAAATGTGATTGTAGGAGAATACATACTATCCTAATAGCCTGTCTAAAAATAAAGATGTAACCATTTTCTTTTCAGTTGTAAAGAATAATATCATAGTCTCTCTCTCTCTTAAATTCGAAGTCTAAATTATATATTAAGGCCAGGCTCAGTGGCTCAGCCTGTAATCCCAGCACTTTGGGAGGCCGAGGTGAGTGGATTACCTGAGCCCGCGGATTCGAGACCCACCTGGGCAACTTGGCGAGACTTCATCTCTACAATAAATCAAAAAATGAGCCGGGCGTGGTAGTGCGCACCTGTAGTTCCAGCTACTTAGAAGGCTGAGGCAGAAGGATCGCCGGAGCCCAGCAGGTCGAGGCTGCGGTGGCTGAGAGCGGCCACTGCACTCCAGTCTGGGTGACAGAGTGAGACTCCAACTCAAAAAAAAAAAAAAAATTATACATTAATGTGACTTATCCAATGAAATTCCAAGAGCCTAGCATTATTTTATTCAAAATATATTACCTTTGGATGAATTTTCAGACTTTAAAAAACGTACATAATACACAGACACTTCAGAAAAAGAGAAAAAAATAAAGATAGGATTAAACCATGTCCTTCAAAATTCCAAAATTTCTGATAAATAGTCAAAGCACAATGGAAAGGAAATGGGGTGGTCCAATTTTTAAAAGTCTAGCTTATATTCTAAACATTTATTTTTCCCTCCAGTATTTTTTATCCTCCAGGTAGCCTATGTGGATAGATAAATAAGTGGTCAAGCTATATTACAAAAAAGTAGAGGGATAGTTTTATACTCTTTGTGATGTTAAAGAGTTTTTACTATCATTCCCTGAGTAGGAAAGAAGATAGTTTGGGAATACTGGACTTCTCCCGTATATTGCAATTTAGCGACATTTAGACACATTTAAGTAAATGAATACACCACTGTCTCCTTTTCAAACATATAATGTAGAATGACAATTTCCTTGACGATAAATTAAGCCTTAAGAAAAGATACATCAGGTTAATGAGAAGAGGAATTTGAAGTATTTTCTAGGAGTGCAGTAACTGGTTAGGACTCTGGGCGCCGCTGTTCACTAATCTGGACGATACAGGCAATACACACAGGCAAAAAAAAAAAAAAAGAATGAAAGAAAGCCCTGTGTCTCTTGGAACTTCCATCACTGCCAGATAGAACACCCAACCCCTACTTCTGGACGACTCCAAGCTCGAAATTCTCCTGAAAATTAGGTTAATGTAGACTCAGAAAGGCAGAGAGACGATACCCTTGGTACTGGACTGGGAGAACACTACGAAGAGAGAGCAATGAAGATTCAGGCGACGCTGGCCGGCTGCAGCCGGCTGATGCTACTGTGCCTATTCTTGGAGTTGCTGTTGGAAGTTGGGGCCGGGAATATCCGCTATTCGGTGCCAGAAGAGACTGAGAGAGGTTCCTTCGTGGGCAACATCGCCAAGGACCTAGGGCTACAACCTCAGGAGCTGGCGGAGCGCGGAGTACGCATTGTCTCCAGAGGTAAGACGCAGCTTTTCGCTCTAAACCCGCGAAGCGGCAGCTTGGTCACCGCAGGCAGGATAGACCGGGAGGAGCTCTGCGCTCAGAGCGCGCCGTGTCTGGTGAGTTTTAACATACTTGTTGAGGATAAAATGAAGCTTTTCCCTGTCGAGGTGGAAATAATTGATATTAATGACAACACTCCCCAATTCCAGTTAGAGAAACTGGAATTTAAAATGAATGAAATAACCACTCCGGGTACCAGGATCCCTCTGCCTTTTGGCCAAGACCTTGATGTGGGTATGAACTCACTTCAGAGCTACCAGCTCAGCTCCAACCCTCATTTCTCTCTGGCTGTGCAAGAGGGAGCTGATGGTCCCCAACACCCAGAGATGGTGCTGCAGAGTCCCCTAGACAGAGAAGAAGAAGCTGTCCACCATCTTATCCTCACAGCTTCTGATGGAGGCCACCCAGTCCGTTCAGGGACCCTCCAAATTTGTGTTCAAGTGGTGGATGCAAATGACAACCCTCCAGCGTTTACTCAGGCACAATACCATATGAGTGTCCCAGAAAACGTGCCACTGGGCACTCGGCTGCTCACAGTTAACGCCACCGACCCGGACGAGGGAGCCAATGGGGAAGTAACATACTCCTTTCACAATATAGACCACAGAATGGCCCACATATTTCATTTAGATTCTTACACAGGAGAAATATCAAATAAAGAACCACTGGATTTCGAGGAATACAAAACTTATTCAATGGAAGTTCAAGCTCATGATGGTGCTGGGCTCATGGCCAGAACTAAGGTACTGGTGGAAATTTTGGATGTGAATGATAATGCTCCAGAAGTGACCATCACCTCTGTCAATACTGAAGTCCCAGAAAACTTTCCTCCTGGGGCTATAATTGCTCTTATCAGTGTGCATGACCAGGACTCAGGAGAAAATGGACACACCGCATGTTTCATTCCTGGAAATCTACCTTTTAAATTGGAAAAGTTAGTTGATAATTATTATCGTTTAGTGACTGAAAGAACTCTGGACAGAGAACGTATCTCTGGGTACAACATCACAGTAACAGCAACAGATCAGGGAACTCCAGTCCTATCAACGGAAACTCACCTTTCACTGGTAGTGACTGATGTCAATGACAATCCCCCAGCCTTCCATCAGGACTCCTACTCCGCCTACATTCCTGAAAACAACCCCAGAGGAGCCTCCATCTTCTCTGTGAGGGCCCATGATGCCGACAGCAATGAGAATGCACAAGTCACTTACTCCCTAGTAGAGGATACCATCCAAGGGGTGCCTCTGTCCTCCTTTGTCTCCATCAACTCCGACACTGGGGTCCTGTACGCACTGCAGTCCTTCGACTACGAGCATTTCCGGGACTTGCAACTGAAAGTGATGGCCCGTGACAGTGGGGATCCACCCCTCAGCAGCAATGTGTCCCTGAGCCTATTCGTGATGGATCAAAACGACAATGTTCCAGAGATCCTGTATCCTGCCCTCCCCACTGATGGTTCAACCGGTGTGGAGCTGGCGCCCCGTTCTGCGGAGCCTGGCTACCTGGTAACCAAGGTGGTAGCAGTGGACAGAGACTCAGGCCAGAACGCCTGGCTATCCTACCGCTTGCTCAAGGCCAGTGAGCCAGGGATTTTTGCAGTGGGACTGCACACTGGTGAAGTGCGCACGGTGCGGGCCCTCCTGGACAGAGATGCCCTCAAGCAGAGCCTCGTGGTAGCCGTACATGACCACGGCCAGCCCCCTCTCTCAGCCACTGTCACCCTTACTGTGGCTGTGGCCGACAGTATCCCTGAGGTCCTGGCTGACCTGGGCAGCCAAGGGCCTTCAGCAGACCCAGATGAATCAAGCCTCACACTCTATCTTGTGGTGGCAGTGGCCACTGTCTCCTGTGTCTTTCTGGCTTTTGTCATTGTGTTGCTGGCCCTAAGGCTGCATCGCTGGCACAAGTCTCACCTGCTCCAGGCTTCTGGAGACAGGTTGGCAGGTGTGCCCGCCTCACACCTCGTGGGCATGGACGGGGTGCGGGCTTTCTTACAGACTTATTCCCATGAGGTGTCCCTCACCACGGACTCTCGGAAGAGTCACCTGATTTTCCCCCAGCCCAACTATGCAGACACGCTTATCAGCCAGGAGAGCTGTGAGAAAAAGAATTTTCTGTCAGCACCCCAGTCTTTACTTGAAGACAAAAAGGAAACATTTTCTCAGGTAAACTTTTGTGGTGAATTTATAAGCTATCTAGATAAAAATAATGCATGATTTAGCTTACTTGCTTTCACTGTTTACTACATGCAGTTCTAACCCATGTGTCCTTATAGACTTCTATTAAAAGTCCTGGAAAATCATGACTAACTGGGTCTACACATTCCTATCCAGGTATATTTATAATCATTCTTACATTGAAAAGGAGACTGTGATCATAATGTCTGTGGTTGAGTTGAAGAGTATGTGTGAGATGCTATCTCTGCTTTGGAAAGAGTATGTGTGAGATGCTATCTCTGCTTTGAAAAGAGTACTGCATTAGAAACAAGACAAACTGGCTTCTACCATTTTCTTTCTTGCCTCTGGCCAAATCATTTTATTGTTCTGAGTTGACCATTTCTTATCTGGAAGAAATAAGGTTTGATTAGAAAAGGCCCACCAATATTTATGACTCATACACTTTCAATTTTTTAAAGTTATATATACCTGCTTATTTATCTCTGAAATTAAAGTAGATGTCATCTGTCAGGATGCTGTGGTATTTTATTTGGAGACGTTTGACAAGGTGAAGATTGTCTGAAGTGGTATTTTTAGTTGTTTTAATACAAAACTATAGACATTTATATAAGTTAGAACTTTAAATTATTATTGAATATTTTAGCTCTTTGTTTAGTCTTTTATTATGAGGTTTTTTACGCATGCTAAAGAATACATCTGTTTACATAATTTATGAAGTGAAGTATCAAAATAAACAACAGAAAATTTACCATGCAACTTGAGAAATAGTTTTGAAGCCTCCTGACTTATACATTATACCTGTATTGAAACCAACTAACAAAAGTAAAGTATGTGTTCCATTTTGATGTGTGTTAGCTCTTCACAAGAAAAACCTGTATTGTAGAGGAGTAAGTTCAAGCTTTGAGATATTTATTCTGGTCCAATAAATTACAGAGATACATACAATATAAAAGAGGAAAGCAAAATCATAAATAGAATATAAATACCTAAATGACCAACACTGGAAAAAAAAAAGTGGCGAGTCAGTCTAATGCTGTGTGAGTTCTGGTCTTGGACTTAGAAGCAAAAATTGAAGTTTAGGAAATTAACTACAGCAGTGTAGTAGGGACAAAAGTGCTTCAGGCTAAATGACCCAGGCAAACCTTCATGCCTGAATCCGAAACAAGCAATGAGGCCCTTCAGCTAGTTCTTTTTTAAATTGCATTAAAATGCTGGCTATCAATTTCTGTGGTTATACCTTTTAACTGCTGCTCAAGGGAGAGAGATTGACACAGATGCTGGCTCAGTGAACACTAAATCCCTCAAATGCGAGCTGTAATATCCAGAATATCACTGCACATGCCATGAAAACATAGCACTAAGAGAACTAGTTATGGCCTGAGACCTGGAGTCAGATAGAAACTATTTCAAAACCACTAGAGATGAGCACTGAACCCAGGATGAAAGGAGAGAGGAAGACAGAGCAGAAGAGAAAAAAACAAATTAAAAATAAAAACAAAGCTCGTCTACTTAAATGTACAAACTAAAATGTCAAAGCACACTATCTTCTAGAATTTATTATTGCTAATGAGAAATTTTCTGTCAACAAATTGTCATTATTTTTTAAGGTAATCTCTGCTTCCTCTCTGATTACTTGTTAAGACTTTCTCCCATTCTTGCTGTGCGTCTGCTGAATTTTTATTTTGTGCTTGGTACCAAGAGTATATTCTCTTTTTAAAAATTATTTTATTTTATTTTTAAGATGTGGGGTACAATTCAGGATTAGGTATACAAGTGGTCATCATACAAGTAAAGTTTGGACCTCCCTTTGGTCCCCACATTGCCTGATTTGAGATCAGGTACCCTAATTGGTGTGTTCCCCTCACCCCCACCCCGGCAGTATCCCACTGCTGCCAATTCCTTATAGTATTATCATAAGAGTATACTCTCAACTAACAACTTATTTCAATTCTGGACTTTCTCACTCCTTATAATTTTTTTTCTGTGTATATACAAATAAGCTTGATTTACCTATTAAAGGACAGAGATTACAAAATTGGTTGATTTTTTTAAATCCACATTCTGATAAGACACATGCTTAAAATAAAATTACACTGAAATATTGAAACTAAAAATACATGTATACACACACAAAAGAAAAGTGTAGTGTCAATATTAATATAAAGTAGTATATAATGCAGCCAACACTAATTGTGACTTCTTAAAATAAACTGATCCTAATTATAAAAAGGACAGATGAGCAAAATAATATACAAATTATGAGCTTCTATTACCTAAAAATATAGCTTTGCTCCTATATTTGGTTCTATACCAGCTTTGATCCTATACCAGGAGGTTTTAACCTAATTTCATAAGAAATAATAGACCTCACAGGCAGAAGCAGCATAAAAATTTGAACAACAGAATCTGTAATCTAATAGATCTGAATAAAATCCTACACAAAACAAATATGGAATACCCATCCTTTACTTGAGCATATGGAAAATCTACAGCAACTTGTTATCTAGTCATCTCAAGAAAAAAGGCTCACCACATTTCAACATACTGGTAATATACATACCTTACAACATATACTTAACACACAAAGCAAAAATGTAAAAATAGTAAAGAAACACAAATTTGTTAGATATTTAGAACCCTAAATAAACCTTAGAGTTAAAAAAATTACAATAACAATGAAAACTCTTTAGAAATGAAGAAGAATTGAACTATTATTTATTTAACATTGTGGCATATGGCTAAAACAGTATTTAGAAGTAAATTTAAATTCAAATGCAATACTTTTTAAAAACAAGCAAAATATTGCAATACTGTAAGAAAAGGAGCCGGGCTCAGTGGCTCAGTCTGTAATCCTGCGACTTGGGAGGCTGAGGTGAGTGAATTGCCTGAGCCCACGGGTTTGAGACCCGCCTGGGCAACTTGGCGAGACCTCATCTCTACAATAAATAAAAAAATTAGCCGAGTGTGATAGCGCGCGCCTATAGTTCCAGCCACGTGGAAGGCTGAGGCGGAAGGATCGCTGGAGCCCAGCGGGTCGAGGCTGCAGTGGCCGGGAGCAATAGATGATCATGAAGCAATAGAAGCAGACTGTAAGTGTCATGTTAATGCCAATGGGTAGGAAATGAAACTCCTGTCAAGTTCAATGTTGGGACTAATATAGGTTAGGCAAATGCCATGACAAATTCTACTTAAAGATCCAAAAAGGCTGGGCGCAGTGGCTCAAGCCTGTAATCCCAGCAGTTTTGGAGGCGTAGGTGAGAGGATTGCCTGAGCTCAGGGGATCGAGACCAGTCTGAGCAATATAGTGAGACCTCATCTATACAATAAATCAAAAAATTAGCTGGGTGTGGCAGCACGTGCCTGTGGTTTCAGTTACCTGGAAGGCTGAGGCAGAAGGATCAACTGAGCCAATGGGTTGAGACTATGGTGGCCATGAGCATACCACTGCACTCCAGCCTGGGCGACAGAGTGAGACTCTGACTCAAAAAAAAAAAAAAAAAAAATCCTAATAGGTGTGAAAACAGGGAAAGAGAAGGGGAAGCAAGAAAGACTGGGAAAAAATAAAACAGCTCGATATGAGGCAAGAATCATGAGTGGGAAATACTATACAGAATAAAGCCAGACTAGGGGACAAAAACACATCTTCAGAGAATTGCAGTAAGGAGTGTTGAGCAGTTACTTAAGGAGACTCAAGAACAACAAAACCATGTTGATGAAAAGTCTTCAAAAACAAATTGGAGAGCCAAGTGTAGTAGCATGCATTTACAGTCCCCGCTATTCTAGGAGGCTGAGGTGGGAAGATGTTTTGAGCCCAGGAGTTTGAATCCAGCCTGGCCAGCACAGCAAGACCCAGTCTCTCTTAAAAAAAAGAAAAAAGAGGCTCTACTAGAAAACCTGGTGTTCTGACATCAATTCTTTGCATTAAATTTTTCATCCATATTCTCAGAGGAATGGATGAAAGTAAAAATGACAAAAAGTTCAACAGGGAAGGAGCCAAAAGGTAAACAGACTAAAATGAGAGTAGAACTGGACAATCCCACTTATGAATATTGATTCAAATATATATATATAATAAATATATTGAGTTGGAGTCGATGAGGTCTTGCCAAGTTGTCCAGGCTGATCTCAAACCTATGGGCTCAGGCAGAATAAATATAGCAAGCTGCTATTTATATAAATTTGATAGAAAAGTTATGAATATATGCGTATGCAATAAAAAATTAAAATATGCATGAGAATAGTAAATCTATATTCTGGGTGGTGATTACCTCTAGGGAGGGGGGAAGAGAACTGTTATTAAGGAAGGGTATGAGAAGAATTTGTCTCCCTCTGTAGGTTGATCGCTGACAACCATAGCAATAATTATTTCAGGTAAGAATTCTCAGTAGTGAAAGCTTATTTAGAAATATGGTATTCACATAGTCTCAAAGTATCTTCCCAAAAGATATTTATTAATTACAAGGGAAAATAGTTAATTTTGCAATAGAGAAACCTGGAAGTCACTATCTTAACCAAGTGATCAAAGTTAACATAAGCAGGAATATGACAAAGATATCATGTGCCTCCTGATAAGATGCACTGAGAAGGATGCAATATTTCTGCAGTGTTCCTGCCAAAAAGCCATATAATCTGAATCTAATCATGAAAAAAATCATCAGACCCTTCAAATAACTGGCCAGTACTTTTCAAAGATATAAAAGAAAAAAAAGAAGATAATTTATTATTAATAAATGCATTATATGATCCTGGATTGGATCCTAGACAAGAAAATTTTTTTCTTTTGCTATGAGAAGGCATTATTATGACAACTGGCAAGATTTTACTAAGAGCTATTGATTAGATGATAGATTAGATATGAGAACTATATCAATTTAATGATTTTTATCATATTTTGGTAATGAGAATGTTCTTGGTTTTAAGAAATACACACTGAAGTATTTAGAAGTAAAGGAGCATTGTGTCTGCAACTTATTCTGAAACTGTTGAGAAAGAGAGAGAGAATGAATATGAAACCAAAATGTTAATTAATATTTGGAGTAATATGAGTGAAGAGCATATGGGAATTTTTGTATAATTTTTGTGCAAAGTCTGAAATTATTCAAAATTGAAAGTTTAAAAACTGATCTCAGGCCGGGTGCAGTATTTCACCCCTGTAATCCCAGCACTTTGGGAGGCGGAGGTGAGAGGATTGCCTGAGCTCAAGGGTTCGAGACCAGCTTGAGTAACATGGCAAGACCTTGTCTCTACAATAAATCAAAAATTAGCCAGGCATGGTAGCATGCGTCTGTAGTTCCAGCTACTTGGAAGGCTGAGGCAGAAGGATGACCTGAGTCCAGCAGGTTGAGGCTGTGGTGGCTGTGAGCAGCGTGCCACTGCACTACAGTCTGGGTGACAGAGTGAGACTCCAATTAAAAAAAAAACAAAACTGAACTCATTTAAATCTGGCAACATGTTAAAATCTGATAAAGTCAAATGGCATATACACAGAATTTGGTTATATTGTTTTCTGTACTTGCCTGTATATTTGAAGTATTTCAAACTTTATTTTTAAAATAAACGTTTTGTACATAAGTACATAAAAATGAAACAAGAGTAAGAAGACATTCACTGTATTGTATTTGCACTCTTAGTCAGCACTGAATATCAGAAAAAGGACTTGGAAATCTCAAACAACTTTGCATGACTAATTGATAATGTGGTCAAACGAACAAACAGCAACAACAACAAAAAAGCCACCCTGCTCTAGCTTTATCCAATAGATCCCATCGGCACTTTCTGCAATGTTCCATGCTGCCTCTCACTTTCAAGCATTTATTCTGTGGTTCTAGAACACTACACCATTCTCTTTTTTGATCCAATCCTACCCTTTAAGATTTCGCTTCAATAATGTCTTTGAGAACTCTTTCCTGACCCTCAAATCTAGAACTGGATGTCCTCCCTATGTATTCCTCAATCGCCCAGTATTTCCCACCTGATATCATAGCACTTATCATACTTTCTAATACTCTTTACTTTCCTATGTCCACTTCCATGTTCATCAGGCTCACCACTTCTATCTCCAGCCTCAACCAAGCAAGGTGGGTCCCATCAAGTAAATGTCTAATGATTCAATAACTTTGAAGATAATTAAAATTAAATTTTAACTTTTAAAGATTTTAAAGTAAAATGCTAAGCCGTCAATCATAAAAATTCAAAATATATAACCTCAGAAGAAAATGCAGCTAATGTTTTTCATTGATCTTATTGTCTTTGAGTATACAGTAAGAGGTGGAAGATGTTTGGAACAAGGGCAGTAGCAGCATTAATTAATGCCTCGAGCAGTCAATAATACTTTCTTAGCAACTACTATCAAAGGCACATACATTTACACCAGTCTTATTAATTCTTAGAAGAAAGATTCCTGCCTTGAAAGATCTACCTCAAAGGTTTCTTAGAGCTATAAGATTCTTTAAAGCAACTCGAAAGCCAACAAAGGCAAACATTCACAACTTGGGTTTGCCTGAATAGGTGCAGAAATTAGTTAGGCCTCTGAGCGTCGCTGTTGACCACCTAAGGAGTGAAAGGCTGCGAGACATCCAATCCAACGACACGGTTCCCATGACACAAAGGGCTGGGCATTTGGCCCGCAAGCTTCGGGAGGCAAAGAAAGTCAGTCTGGCAGCCCGCTAGTTCTCGCCACAGGGTCCTGGGTCCCGAGAGTGCTGATCATTTCAAACCCTGAACATTAAAGATTGGAATCGTGCATTGGATGCTGGAAACTGACTTGGAGAAAACTGCGACAGAAGGGAAATGGCGGTTCTGCAAAGGTTGCCCCAGAACAGAACGCTGGTCCTGCTGTGCCTTCTTTTGTCGGCCCTGTGGGAGGCCGGGGCCGGACAGATTCGCTACTCTGTGCCAGAAGAGATCGACAAAGGCTCCTTCGTGGGCAACATCGCCAAGGACCTGGGGCTGGAGCCCCGGGAGCTGGCAGAGCGCGGAGTCCGCATCGTCTCCAGAGGTAGGATACAGCTATTTGCTCTGAACCCGCGAGGAGGCAGCTTGGTCACCGCGAGCAGGATAGACCGGGAGGAGCTCTGCGCTCAGAGCGCGCGGTGTCTTTTGCATTTTAATATACTCCTGGAAGATAAATTGACTATTTATTCAGTAGAGGTGGAAATAACAGATATTAACGATAATGCCCCTCGCTTTGGAGTAGAGGAACTGGAGCTAAAAGTCAGTGAAACGACTACTCCAGGATTCCGGATTCCTCTTAAGAGTGCGCATGATGCGGATGTAGGCGAGAACACCCTTCAGAAGTATGAACTCAACGCAAATGACCACTTCTCCCTGGATGTGCGAAGCGGAGTGGATGGGAACAAGTACCCAGAGCTGGTGCTGGAGCGCGCCCTGGACCGCGAGGAAGAGGCTGTGCACCACCTAGTTCTCGTGGCTTCCGACGGGGGTGATCCTGTCCTGTCTGGCACCTCCCGCATTCGCGTGAAGGTCCTGGATGTGAACGACAACGCGCCTGTTTTTACACAACCCGAGTACCGTGTAAGTGTTCCAGAGAATATGCCCGTAGGCACCCGGATACTCACGGTGACCGCTACTGACGCAGATGAGGGACACAACGCTCAAGTGACATATTTTCGAGAGAAAACTCCTGGAGAAACCTCAGAAGTATTTGAGCTTAAGTCGACAACTGGAGATATAACAATCATAAAAAATCTAGACTATGAGGATGCTAAATTCCATGAAATCGATGTTGAAGCACAGGATGGTCCAGGCCTTCTGACCAGAACAAAGGTTATCGTCACAGTTCTGGATGTGAATGACAACGCCCCAGAATTTGACTTGACATCTGCCACTAGCTCAGTTCCTGAAGACTCTCCTCCAGGAACCATAATTGCTCTTTTCAATGTACACGATAGAGACTCTGGGGAGAATGCATTTATCACATGTTCACTCCCAGAAAATCTTCCTTTCAAGTTAGAAAAGTCAGTGGACAATTACCGCCGATTGGTTACAACCAGGTCCCTTGACAGGGAACAGTTTTCCTTTTACAACATCACTCTAACCGCAGAAGATGGAGGAAACCCCTCCCTGTCCACGGATGCCCATGTTCTGCTGCAGGTGGCGGACATCAACGACAACCCACCCTCTTTCCCCCACACAGCCTACTCTGCCTACTTTCCTGAAAACAACCCCAGAGGTGCCCCCATCTTTTCACTGACGGCCCATGACCCCGACAGCGACGACAATGCTCATGTGACTTACTCTCTCATAGAAGACACCGTTCAAGGGGTGCCCCTATCTTCATACATCTCCATCAACTCTGACACTGGGGTCCTCTACGCACTACGCTCCTTTGATTATGAGCAATTCCAAGACTTGCAACTGTGGGTAACAGCACAGGACAGCGGGAGTCCCCCACTCAGTAGCAATGTATCATTAAGCCTGTTCGTGCTGGATCAGAATGACAATGCACCTGAGATCCTGTACCCCACCCTGCCCACTGATGGTTCCACAGGCATGGAGCTGGCGCCCCGCTCTGCAGAGCCTGGCTACCTGGTGACCAAGGTGGTGGCAGTGGACAGAGACTCAGGCCAGAATGCCTGGCTATCCTACCGCCTGCTCAAGGCCAGCGAACCCAGGCTCTTCACAGTGGGGCTGCACACAGGCGAGGTACGCACGGCACAGACCCTGCTGGACAGAGATGCACTCAAGCAGAGCCTTGTGGTGGCCGTGCAGGACCATGGCCAGCCCCCTCTCTCGGCCACCGTCACACTCACTGTGGCCATGGCTGACAGTATCCCTGAGGTCCTGGCCGACCTGAGCAGCACCAGATCCCTAGCTAACCCTGATGATTCGGACCTCACGCTCTACTTGGTGGTGGCAGTGGCTACTATCTCCTGTGTCTTCCTTGCCTTTGTCATCATGCTGCTGACCCTCAGACTTCGGCGCTGGCACAAGTCACGCCTGCTCCAGGCTTCTCGAGGTGAGTTGGCACACGTGCCCACCTCACACTTTGTGGGAGTGAGTGGGGTGCAGGCCTTCCTGCAGACCTATTCCCATGAGGTGTCCCTCACTTCGGACTCGAGAAAGAGTCACCTGATATTTCCCCAGCCCAACTACGCAGATACACTCATCAGCCAGGAAAGCTGTGAGAAAAAGGATTTTCTATCAGCACCTCAATCTCTACTCGAAGGCGAAAGAGAAGAAACATTTTCTCAGGTAATCTGTTTTTTCACAATATACTTATTAGCTAGTTTGCTAAAATAAATAAATTTACCTATTTATTTAATTGCCTCCACTGTTTACTATCTATTTTATTCCCCATATGTTTCCTTGAGGATATAGTTAAGTTTTAGAAAATTAATCTTGAGGACTTATTTCTAGGTAGGTCTAAGTGTTCACAGACTGTAAGAGGGAGGAGGGGCTAGAATCATTGTATAATGAATATAAATTAGGAGTAGATGGGTCAAGATATACTATTTAGATTATCAAAAGATCGCTGCATCAGTAGCAAGTATCTTGCTTCTCGTACTTTCTTCATCACCCCTCGGCAAATCGTCTCATCTACCTGGTTCAACAATTTTTTCTTTCTTAAAAACATGAAGGTTGGAGTTTATGTTTACTCGATTCCCTTCCTCTTTTAAAATATAGGCTCTTGTTTTATATTTGAATCTGTATATGAATAGTGAAGCACCTTAGTTGGTTAGGTTTTTTTATTTTTTTTCACTCAGTCTTAACAAATTACCCTCAGTTCAGCAGTGAAATTCTTTGTTTTCCTTAATTTGCATGCCCTCCTCTATTAAAAAGATGGAAGTTTAGAAATATACACTCTTCACAGTGTTTCAGGAAAGTATGTCATGGTATCTCTGCTTAGTTAAAAATCACATTAGCCTTTAAGCTTGTGTTCCTTGAAGAAGTGCTCATATGTTCTATAACCTATTGGTAGAATAATATTAATAGTAAATGGGTTTCTTTTCTCTTTTTTTTTTCATATCTGGAAACCATGTTGCGTTTTTATATTTTAAAATAATATATGTACTCAACATAACTTAGCTTAAATAAAAGAAACAAGGGATTCAGAGACCATGTTATACAATTGCCCCTAAAGATCCTCTTTATACATCTCTCTTCCCAAGGTTTCCTACTCATGGCAGCTGCTTAAAGTGTTCATTACTCACCCAACCCCAGTTCCCCCATACCAGTTTTTCTCTTTTCATGTTGAGTTTTAGTATGTTGGTTATGTATTTAGTAATAGAGAACAATAAACATGCTAATATTCTATGTAATAAAGATATTTAAAAATTTTTATTTGGGAGTAGTCATATACTACTTGGGCCTTGTATTTAATGGTATCATGTGTCTCAAAGGGTTGCAATTCTTTATTATATTTAAGGGACTCTGATAAGGGAAAATTTGTGTGAAACAATATATTTCATTGTGGGTATTACTATTTCATAGTTCTCTGTGAAGTAAAATTGGAACTTACTGAGGAATAATAGGTCATAATGTCTTTACTTGTAAGTAAATAATAAGGTATAAATGGAGGGAAGCTAAAGACAGATCTCCTCTCAGTGTGCATAGTAACCTACAAAATAAATGCCTTACACATGGATATGTAATGCGTCATGATTGGGATGATAAGTGAGATGTATTTATATTTCATACAGGGAAAGGGATTTTGGAACATAAAACAGAAGTTTATGTCTACTGGTTTCAGTTGTGCATTTTAAGAAGCATCCTTATAGTTAAATTTAGACAAAGTGAACTTCTTTCAGTGACCTGGAAGTCTGTGATTTTTCTCTCACATCTCGACATTGTCATGCTGTTCTCTCTCATATCCAGGCCTTTTCCCTGATTCACTCCTCTCATGCTTCCTGGGAAAGCCTTTACAATCCTCCAAAGGCTTGATTGAAGGCCTTCCCATGTCCCTTGGCTTCTCCCATTATGCTAGTTATCTCAATACACCATAATTCCCTGTTCACTCTTTTATCTTTATCAACTCTATGAAGACGTGGTTGTGTCTATATTGTTCACCCTAAATCCTCAAACATATTGTCTAATTCAATTGTGTTTGTTTAATGAATATTAAATAACACATCAAATACTGAAACTAAGAAATCAAGCTATCTACGACAAACTTCAAGAACTATAACCTATAAATGTGGCTGATATTTCTATGTGTTTCTGTTTTTTCTTCTTTCTTGTCTAAACTTTTTTTTTTTTTTGAGTTGTAGTCCCACTCTATCGCCCACGCTGGAGTGCAGTGGCACACTCATGGCCACCCCAGCATCAACCTGCTGGGCTCCAGCGATCCTTCCACCTCACCCTTACAAGTAGCCAGAACTACAGGCTCATGCTACTTACACCCAGCTAATTTTTTGATTTTTATTGTACAGACGAGGTCTCACCATGTTGCCCATACTGGTCTCGAACCCACAGACTTGGGCAATCCACTCACCTCAGCCTCCCAAAGTGCTAGGATTATAGGCTTGAGCCACTGCACCCAGCCTTGTATAAACTCTTAAAGAGCTGAACATACAGAGAGGGAAATACGGGCATTTTCAAATAAATATGGGCATTATCAAATAATGTTGATACCTGTAGTATCAAGGACAAGGACAAATGCTTGTTTAAGTTTAGTCGTTGAAGAGCAAGTGGTGATCATGGCTTTCAACAGGTCTGTGTTGGTCCTCAGGGTCAGTTCTTTATGTGTTTCCTAAACAGAACATTTCAAAAGAGTAACTCCACCACGTTTAAAGCAATATTGGGGGCATTGAGGTTAGTGCATGGATTCTCAAGAAAGATAACTTGAAGTTACACTGTTTAACATGCATCAATCCAATTATGCAGAATCAGCACTATTCTTATTACCTTTGACAAAAAGGATTTCAGGTGTCGGGTAACTTAAAAATAATAGTTTGAGAGGGTACAGTAAACGGTTAGGCCTCTGGGCGTCGCTGTTGACCACTCAAGAAGGAAAAAACGCAGCTGGAGACTTAGTCCACCATTTCCTTGCTCCTAAAACTCAAAGAACCAGCAGACTCGGAAGATCTGGGGCGACAAACAAGCTCACCCCATAAGTCAACCGGCTCTGTGACCTATGAATTAGGTCCAGGAAAGACTTAAGTTTCTTAAGAAAATAACACTGGAGTCTGTCGTGGGAAATTGGAACAGAATTCAGAGAAAATAATTCACCGAAAAGGAAATGACTGATTGCCTGAGGTTCCGAAGCGGCGGAGGACTGGCTCTGCTGTGCGCGCTCCTGGGGACGCTGTGCGACACGGGATCCGGGCAGATCCGATACTCGGTGCCCGAGGAACTGGACAAAGGCTCCTTCGTGGGCAACATCTCCAAGGATCTGGGGCTGGAGCCCCGGGAGCTGGCGGAGCGCGGAGTCCGCATCGTCTCCCGAGGTAGGATGCAGCTATTTGCTCTGAACCCGCGAGGCGGCAGCTTGGTCACCGCGGGCAGGATAGACCGGGAGGAGCTCTGCGCCCAGAGGGCGCGGTGTCTGGTGAGCTTTAACGTCCTGATTGAGGACAAATTGAAAATTTTTGAAGTAGAAATAGAAATTAAAGATATTAATGATAATGCTCCTGATTTCCTAACAGAGGAACTGGAAATAAAAATTAGTGAACTGACAGCTCCTGGAACCCGATTTCCACTTAAAACTGCTTTTGATCCAGATGTGGGCATGAACTCCCTGCAGAACTACAAGCTCAGCCCCAATGACTACTTCTCTCTGGCTGTGAATGGCGTCTCTGACGGGTCCAAGTACCCAGAGCTGGTGTTGGAACGGGCCCTCGACCGTGAAAAAAAGGAAATTCATGAACTTGCCTTGGTTGCCTCTGATGGTGGCAACCCTGTCCACTCTGGCAGCTTGCGCATCCACGTGATAGTTCTGGATGCAAACGACAACGCACCAGTGTTTACTCAGCCTGAGTACCGTGTAAGTGTTTGGGAGAACGCGCCCGTGAGTACCCGGCTGCTCTCAGTGAATGCCACCGACCCTGACCAGGGATTCAATGGCCAAGTGTCCTATGTTCTAGATAAAATGCCCGGGAAAATCGCTCAGGTTTTTGACCTCAACTCAGAGACTGGAGAAGTATCAATATTGAAAAGTCTAGATTACGAGGATACTATGTTCTATGAAATAAAAATTGAAGCCCAAGATGGACCAGGTCTCCTTTCGAGAGCCAAGATTCTAGTCACAGTTCTGGATGTGAATGACAACACCCCAGAAATTGCAATCACTTCTCTCACGAGCTCAGTCCCAGAAGATGCTGCCGTTGGTAGTGAAATTGCTCTCATCAACGTACATGACCGTGATTCTGGGGAGAATGGGCAGGTTACAGTTTCTGTCCTGGGAAATCTGCCATTTAGTTTAGAAAAATCAATAGGCCAATATTACCGCTTAGTGACAGCCACATTCCTGGACCGTGAACAGATGTCAGAATATAACATCAGTTTGAGAGCCACTGACGGGGGAAGTCCGCCACTGTCCACGGAAACTCACATCACCCTGCACGTGACTGACATTAATGACAATGCACCTGCCTTCTCTCACGCCTCCTACTCCACCTACATTCCTGAAAACAATCCCAGAGGAGCCTCTATCTTCTCAGTGACTGCCCAGGACCCAGACAGCGACAGCAACGCCCTAATCACTTATGCATTGACCGAGGACACCCTCCAGGGGGCGCCTCTCTCCTCCTATGTCTCCATCAACTCCAACACTGGAGTCCTATATGCACTACGCTCCTTCGACTATGAGCAGTTTAGAGACCTGCAGCTACTGGTGACGGCTAGCGACAGTGGGGATCCACCGCTCAGTTGCAACGTGTCTCTAAGCCTGTTCGTGCTGGACCAGAATGACAATGCACCCGAGATCCTGTACCCCACCCTCCCTACGGATGGCTCCACAGGTGTAGAGCTGGCACCCCGCTCCGCAGAGCCCGGCTACCTGGTGACCAAGGTGGTGGCGGTGGACAGAGACTCGGGCCAGAACGCCTGGCTGTCCTACCGCCTGCTCAAGGCCAGCGAGCCCGGGCTCTTCGCGGTGGGGCTGCACACGGGCGAGGTGCGCACGGCGCGGGCCCTGCTGGACAGAGACGCGCTCAAGCAGAGCCTCGTGGTGGCCGTCCAGGACCACGGCCAGCCCCCTCTCTCGGCCACCGTCACGCTCACCGTGGCCGTGGCCGACAGGATCCCTGAAATCCTGGCCGACTTGGGCAGCCTCAAGCCTTCAGCAGATCTGGACGATTCAGGTCTCACTCTGTATCTCGTGGTGGCGGTGGCCACGGTCTCCTGTGTCTTTCTGGCCTTTGTCATCATGCTGCTGGCCCTCAGGCTGCGCCGCTGGCACAAGTCACGCCTGCTCCACGCTTCCGGAGGCGGGTTGGTGGGCGTGCCGCCCGCCTCGCACTTTGTGGGCGTGGACGGGGTGCGGGCCTTCCTGCAGACCTATTCTCACGAGGTGTCCCTCACTGCGGACTCGCGGAAGAGTCACCTGCTCTTCCCCCAGCCCAACTATGCGGATACGCTCATCAGCCAGGAGAGCTGTGAGAAAAGCGAGCCTCTCCTGATACCTCAAGATTTACCTGAAATGAAAGGAGACTCCAAGCTGGTTCCGGTGAGTTTATTTCTTTCTTTGAATATCATAAAGAATAATTGTTCCAGTGTGGTTATTATGACACTTCAACACACATGTATTTGGGAAATAAAGCAATGAGATGGTCATTAGTCCTGTTGTCTAAATATCTGTCTCAGATTCCTTCTGGACATATGGTAGGACTGCACTTCCTGGCCTGGTCATGACTGAGTAGGCCTAGGAACTAGTTCTGACCAATAATATACTGTGAGTGGAAGTAACATGTGTCACTTCCTGGAGGAAGCTCTAATTGGCATTGTGAGAATTTCCAGATCTCTGAGTTACTATTTGAACTTATGACTATTCCTTCTGCCTGGCTCCCTGAGTAACTATGATGAGAGATATTCTCTATAGTGGACCCAACACTGATTTGTATACCTGTGATAAGTTGCCCTTTTTATTTTATTTATTTTAGTCTTTTTAGTTTTAAATCTCTGTACTTTGAAGTTTGTCACTCCAACCTACATAACCTATCCTGGTACTTACAAATAAAAAATACATGTAAGATGTTTTATGCTCCCATAAAGTTATGTTTGACTTTTTCCAAACCAGATGACACTCTTTTCATCTCAGTGACATAAACATTGAAAAAGATTGGTCAAATTGTTTTACTTATAGTGCCTATTATGTATGCCTAAAGTGTATGTTCGTGTGTGTGTGTGTGTGTGTTCACGTTGATTTCAATATTTTGCTTGAAGGTGTAAAGTTCATTTATCTAAATTGCCATAAGCATTGGAGTTGTATTTCTTGCTCTTTGAGAAGGATATTTTAAAACATTTAGAGGAATGTGTCTCAGCCTCTGCAGGACATCTCCATACCATCCACTCTCTCCAGACCATCCACTCCAACAATGGAATAAGAGTCCATTCTGCTGTCAGGTTCTGCATCTTTCTTGGGCCAGAAATTGTTGTCCAGTTCTGAAAGTTATGAAATTATTTTCACTCATGAAGTCACATAAGAGAGTCATTCAAAGTTAAACCAAAATATACTTCATTATATCTCAAAGTGACAGATCTCTCCTTATATATGTTAGGAAGTGACACATTCAAATATGTGTGACAACAGGACCAGAACACCATAATTGTAAGCAGAGAAAGGTGTAGTCTCATTCATATGAGCAAATACATCACATAATACAAAAGGCACATAGGCAGGAGTGATGACACTGCTTATAATCCCAGTGAAGTGGGAGGTTTTCTTGAGCCCAGGACTTAAAGACCAGCCTGGGCAACATAGCAAGACTCTGTCTATAAAAACATCATATATATGTATTTTATGTATTATTATTTAAATTATTAAAATATATGTTTTTTATATATGTATATAATTTTTCTATATATATAGAGAGAGAGGGAGAAACATATGTTTTTTTTTAAAAACTTAATGGTATTTTCCTTGTTAGAAAAAAAAATTAAATGGTTAATGCAAGGTGACATTTAGATGCTCAAAGAATTCCATATCTAAGAATTCCATATGAAACATAGCCTACATATGTACCATAAAATACCCTGAGAATACAAAACCAGTACAATTTTAATCCACTTGTACAGATAATGAAAGATCTCAGACACCTCATTTTCACTAAAAATGATTTTTTTCCTGCAAGATGAGCAAGAATTCATTACAAGAGAAAGGGAAGAAAAGTTCACAATAAAAGAAAAGTATAGAGGCCCAAAGCAGGGAAATCGAAAGGGTGCCTTGGGAAAACAGACAATAGGCTGTTTAGATTGGTGTATGAGTATGGGTGAGCACTGCAAAACAGTAGAATGATTGTTTAGTTGGCATCTAATTAGGCAGTGCATTTCAAATAAAGGGATTTGTTTGTCTGAGTCACCAAGACCAATTCAAAGTTTACAGGATAAATTCCAAAAGGCAGTGTCTAAGAACTCTCAATACCTCTTCAAGGTTTACCAGTGATCGGTCAAACTCATTTGACTCATTAATGGTATTAGTTGACTGGACTGAGAATTGGCATTATAGAGTATTGCATGTAAAAAAGAAGCACCGGTTTCATAAAAATAAATATGACTAACATAAGATTCAGCTTTATAAAAGCATGTACTGTGCCCAAACACTAAATTGATCCCTTAACAAAATATCAAACTCTGCCTTACGTAACTGGGAAGATTATCTATGTTCTATATAGAAGAGCAATATATTATGTAATTGTAAGGTCTTGGATGCCTCTTTTTTGCAAAGATCTATCTTTGAAAAGTATTAATGAATTTATAAAGTGTATATGAAAAGATTTAAAGTACTAAAAAAGGCAAGTTATTCCGATTAATTTACAGAAAGTTAAGGATTATAGTTCACTAAAACAATATGGATAAAAATACATTTATTTGAATATGTCAGTTATGCCAGAGTTTATGAATACAGTGAAATCACTGAAGATATTTTTTGCCCCCAAAACTGGAGGGGAAAAAACGTACGCCTTGTGGATTTCTTTAAAGATTAAAAAAGAAGCATGTAAAATGATGACAATGCTTAGGATATGATGACAAACTAGAAAATAACAAAGTTGAAGGGAAAATATGAATATTTGATTCTTCTCAGCAAGATTCAAGATGTTGCACTTTGAAATAAATAGCTGGGCAATATGCAGTTTTCCAAGACAACCTCCGGGCGCCGCTGTCGACCAAAGGGAAGAGAAGGGTTCTCGGTACTGCGGGAGCGGCAGGCAGGGTGCTTTCCTGCTTTGTCCGGCTCACATCACAGGGCAGACGCCGTCCCTGTGCACCCTCAAGCGCTTAACAAATAAGTCTACCCTCAAATCACAAAAGTCCAGGGTGCTGTCACTGATATTTTAAAACATCCCAGAGAAACTTTGAAGAGAAGCTTTCCAGAGAGTTCGTGGAACGCGGCGGCGCGCCAAAGGAGCTGAAACGATGAAAAGTCAGGTACCGTTTCCTTTCCTGCTGTCTTTGCTCTGTGGAGCCATCTCGCAGCAGATCCAATACACTATTCCGGAGGAGCTGGCCAAGGGCTCACTGGTGGGGAACCTCGCCAAGGATCTGGGGCTCAGTGTCCAGGAGTTGCCAGCTCGAAAACTGCGGGTTAGTGCAGAGGATTATTTCAACATTAGTGCGGAGAGTGGGGATTTGTTAGTAAGCGGAAGGATAGATCGAGAGAAGATCTGCGGCAGGAAATCTGAGTGCGCGCTAGAATTCGAAATGGTGGCTGAAAATCCAATGAATGTTTTCCACGTGATTGTTGCAATTCAAGATATTAATGACAACGCACCATATTTCGTTGCAAAAGGCATCGATTTAGAGATTTGTGAGTCAGCCTTACCAGGGGTGAAATTCCCTCTGGACTCCGCACAAGATGCAGATGTAGAAAGTAACTCACTGAAGACATACACCGTTAACCCCAACCAACACTTCTCTCTGTCAACGAAGGAAAGTGCAGATGGAAGTAAATACCCGGAATTACTGCTGGAAAAACCTCTAGACAGAGAACGTCAGAGCTCCCATCGCTTAATCCTGACTGCCCTGGACGGAGGCAACCCGCCTCTAAGCGGCACCACCCAGGTCTGGATCCAAGTCACTGACGCCAACGATAATGCCCCGGTGTTCAGCCAGGACGTATACAGGGTTAGCCTCCAAGAAAACGTGCCCCGGGAAACCTCCGTGCTGCGAGTGATGGCCACAGACCAGGACGAGGGCATTAACGCAGAGCTCACTTATGCCTTTCTCAATTCTCCAAGTACCAGCCTCTTCAATCTCAATCCAAATACTGGCGATATCACAACCAATGGTATATTGGACTTTGAAGAGACTAGTAGATATGTGTTGGGTGTGGAAGCCAAGGATGGAGGGGTGCACACAGCTCACTGTAATGTTCAGATTGAAATCGTTGATGAGAATGACAATGCCCCAGAGGTGACATTTGTATCCTTTTCTAACCAGATTTCAGAGGACTCTGACGTTGGAACTGTGATAGCTCTCATAAAAGTGCGAGACCAGGATTCTGGGCAAAATGGTGTAGTAACCTGCCATATTCAGGAAGACGTTCCCTTCAAGTTAGCATCCACCTCCAAGAATTATTACAAACTAGTGATTGACAGGGCCCTAAACCGGGAGCAGACTGCAGACTACAACGTCACCATCACAGCCACAGACCGGGGCAAGCCGCCCCTTTCTTCAAGGACAAGTGTCACCCTACACATTTCCGACGTCAATGACAACGCTCCTGTTTTCCACCAGGCCTCCTACATGGTCCACGTGCCAGAAAACAACCCACCTGGCGCCTCCATTGCGCAGGTCAGCGCCTCGGACCCGGATTTGGGACCCAACGGCCTTGTCTCCTACTCGATCGTGGCCAGCGACCTGGAGCCGCGGGCGCTGTCGTCCTACGTGTCGGTGAGCGCGCAGAGCGGCGTGGTGTTCGCGCAGCGCGCCTTCGACCACGAGCAGCTGCGCGCCTTCGAGCTGACGCTGCAGGCCCGCGACCAGGGCTCGCCCGCGCTGGGCGCCAACGTGAGCCTGCGCGTGCTGGTGGGCGACCGCAACGACAACGCGCCGCGCGTGCTGTACCCCGCGCTGGGGCCCGACGGCTCCGCGCTCTTCGACACGGTGCCGCGCGCCGCGAAGCCCGGCTACCTGGTCACCAAGGTGGTGGCGGTGGACGCCGACTCGGGACACAACGCCTGGCTGTCCTACCACGTGCTGCAGGCCAGCGAGCCCGGGCTCTTCAGCCTGGGGCTGCGCACGGGCGAGGTGCGCACGGCGCGCGCTTTGGGCGACAGGGACGCGGCCCGTCAGCGCCTGCTGGTCGCGGTGCGTGACGGAGGACAGCCGCCCCTCTCGGCCACCGCCACGCTGCACCTAATCTTTGCGGATAGCTTACAAGAGATACAGCCTGACCTTGACGACCACCCCGCACCCTCTGACCCGCAAGCGGAGCTGCAGTTTTACCTGGTGGTGGCCTTGGCCTTGATCTCTGTGCTCTTCCTCCTCGCCGTGATTCTGGCCATTGCCCTGCGCCTGAGACACTCTTCAGGCCTCAACGCTGAAGGCTGCTTTCAGCCTGGTTTCTGCTCCAAGTCTGAACCTGGACGTCCCCCCAACCACAGCGACCTCACTTTGCCCTACTCCCACTGTCTTTGCGTTGCCTCTCATTCTGCAAAGACAGAGTTTAATTTTCTCAACCTGACGCCAGAAATGACTCCCCCTCAGGATCTACTGTGTGATGATCCTTCTATGGCTGTATTTTCCAGTAATGAGGATCCCCAAATGGCGTGTGACACTTCTTTTTCCTCTCACGTGAGTTTCTACAAGCGCATTTAAATTTTCTATGTTATATTTGCATCTTATTCGTGCATAATTAACTTTGGTCGTGTTTCATTGTTACAGTGATGGTATCTAGTGGGGGGCATGTGTTGGGTGGGTGGAGTGTGGCTCCTTAATTGCTCGGTAATCTTGGCAATTACAGGATTATTAATTTTCCATCTTTACTGCTGGCATTTCTGTATGGTTGGTGAATCTTGGTTAAAAACAAAAAGAAGAAGACTTGTTTCCTGGATGTTACCAACTTTCGTAATAGCCGTGCCCTTTCTTAGTTGATATGTAATACTCTTTTTTCAAGTCATCTTATTCTTAGCTTTTTATAAATGTACTGACATTTCTTCTTGCAGAAGTTAATGTTCATCTTCATAAATCACTTTCTAGTTCTTTACTTTTTATTTATTTATTATTTGTTTATTTATTTAGTCAGAATCTAACTCTGTTGCCCAGGCTGGAGTGCAGTGGCACCTCACAGCCACTACAGCCTCAACCTGCTGGGCTCAGGTGATCCTTCCGCTTCAGTCTTCCAAGTAACTGGAACCACAGGCATGTGCCACTATGCCCGGCTAATATTTTGATTTATCTCAACCCCCTGAACTCAGGCAATCCTCTCACCCCTGCCTTCCAAAGTGCTGGAATTACAGGCTTGAGTCACTGCGCTTGGCCCAGTTGTTTACTTTTTTAGCAACCTGTATATTTATCACAGTTTTCCAAAAATTAAGACTCTTAACACTTATTTGTCTTGTCACAAGTAGCTAACATTGTCAAATTTCACATTTGCATGACTAACTTTGGCTCAATATTATTCCCACCTCATAATTTCACTCAAGAATGTTTCTTAATTTCCCTAACCATTACTTAATAATTTATTTGTCTGCTTTGTCCCTATTATAATAAGGAATATAATGAACATTTTTGTTTATAAAGCATTTTTTATATTATTGTTTCTTTCAAGTAGGTTTCTGAGAAGTGAATTAACTCTACAAATTTTTTTAGTTTTTTTAATGCTCATTGTGAAATTTGTTTACAAAGCATGTCATTTTATTACATTAATCTAAAGTAATTTGTGAGCCTTTGAGGATTGTGGGAAACACCTTTATTCTCTCATAGTCTCAAGATTTTAAAATTCTGTATAGTTAATAAACTTTTGTATGAGTCATTTCTAGATGCTTATTAAGTGAGGAATAATCTGAAGAACTGACAACTTACTGCTTTATCTCAAATTTTCTCAGGCTAGTAAATTACTCCAAGTATTCCTGAATAAGAAAGATGTGGTAAGGGTAACTCCCTCGGGTCCCCTCCCTCTGTGGGAGCTTTTCTGTCCTCTCAATAAATCCTGCTTTCTAAAAAGAAAGAAAGAAAGAAAGAAAGAAAACTGTGGTACATGGTAATGAACATATAACTACTAAAACATGTCATTTTATTTCTGAAATCAAAGTTAAAGTAAACAGAAATACTGGTAAAATTATATCAGATGTGTCTTATGTGAAAAAAAAACAACCTTGCTTTCTACTGTGCTTCAGTCTAACTTTTCTGTTTATTTTTAAAGTCAGTTATTTATTTATTGTTCTAGGCTTTGTATTTGCATTGTTAACTCATTCATGAGACGTTGGAACAGCACTCTTGAAAGGCGCTGTTCTGCAGATTGAGAACACACTGTGAATAAGATAGGCACAGGCATAGCTTGTGGTCTGGAACCTACTGTATGCAAAATTAATCAACAAAGTCTCTCTCCAAAGCTTTCATCATATTTGTCAAGCCCATTTGCACAGGGTTATGACTGTCTCTTTAACATAGGTATTTTCTTGCAAGAAAATTAAAAAGTTGCCTCAGGCACTAAAGGGTCAACACATGTGAGGAAATTGTGTTTCTACATATGTTGAGACTAAAGCCTGACCACCAAGCTCCCGTTCTACTATCTTTTCACCTGTTTCCTCTGTTCCTCAAGGCCACCCTTGTTTTTAGAAGGGATAAATATGTTCCTCACATGACACACTTTACTGAGAATGGGCTGTGGGAATGTACAATGTAAAAACTGAAAGTAGAAAACATTCTTAGCCAAAAAAAATCGTCATATTATTTTCTCTGAGAAAATAAATAACCTTATATAATTTATTGTACAAGAAGTATTGACTCATTCTTGTATTTTCCATTGCAAATCAATAACAGGAATCTAACTTTTGTACTCTTGAGAGAAATAGGATTAGAAATGGAAAAGGTGAATAAAGGTGATACTTTATTTACTAAGAAAAATTGCAGTAACAGTCTAGGACTCTGGGTGTCGCTGTTCACCAATCGGGGGGAAAAACAAATCTAATTCGAACCACAAGATTTCTGCAGCACAAAGCACTGGTTCTGGGGCTTTACAAAAGCGTCAGCCTGGACGCCCGAGAGCTCCGACCTCCAGCGGTGAAAGTACTTTATCTTGCACCCGGAAGGTCCTAGGGATCTTCAACCTCCACTGAGGGAAAACGAAGCGAGGGTTATTACGCTGCGGGGCTGCAATGGCGGCTCCTTCTCATCGCCCAGGGTGCAGCCGGCTGGTCCAGATCGGCCTTCTCCTGGCGTCCCTGTGGGAAATCCGGGCTGAACAGATCCACTACTCGGTGCCGGAGGAGTTGGAGAAAGGCTCCTTGGTGGGCAACATCGCCGAGGACCTGGGACTGGAGCCCCGGGAGCTGGCGGAGCGCGGAGTCCGCATCGTCTCCAGAGGTAGGACGCAGCTTTTCGCTCTGAACCCGCGAGGCGGCAGCTTGGTCACCGCGGGCAGGATAGACCGGGAGGAGCTCTGTGACAGATCCCCCAAGTGTGTGGCAAACCTGGAGCTTCTCCTAGAGGACAAAGTAAAGATTTTTGGAGTAGAAGTGGAAATAATTGATATTAATGATAACGCGCCCACGTTTGGGACTGAACAGAGGGAAATAAAAGTTGCTGAAAGTGAAAATCCTGGGACAAGATTTCCCCTTCCTGAAGCTTTTGATCCGGATGTAGGTGTAAATTCCCTGCAGGGTTATAAACTCAGTCCTAATGGTCACTTCTCCCTGGACGTGCAAAGTGGAGCCGACGGAATTCAGTATCCGGAGTTGGTGCTGGAGCGCGCCTTAGATCGCGAAGAAGAGGCGGTTCACCACCTGGTCCTCACCGCCTTCGACGGAGGCGACCCGGTTCGCTCTGGCACTGCCAAGATTCACATAACACTTATGGATACCAATGATAATGCTCCTGTATTCTCTCAGGCCGAGTACCACGTAAGTGTTCGAGAGAATGTGCCTGTGGGCACCCGGCTGCTCACGGTAAAAGCCACTGATCCAGATGAAGGAGCCAATGGAGAAGTGACATATTCTTTCCGGAAAGTAAGAGATAAAATATCCCAGCTATTCCAATTGAATCCTCTGACTGGGGACATAACGACATCAGGGGATCTAGATTATGAGGAGTCTGGATTCTATGACATAGATGTGGAAGCCCACGACGGACCCGGACTTCGAGCCAGAAGCAAGGTACTGGTGACAGTTTTGGATGTAAATGACAATGCTCCAGAAGTCACAGTTACATCTCTCACCAGCTCAATCCAAGAGACTTCTTCCCCAGGTACAGTAATTGCACTTTTCAATGTGCATGACAGTGATTCGGGAGAGAATGGCCTTGTCATGTGTTCTATTCCAGATAATCTGCCATTTGCACTTGAAAAGACCTATGGAAATTATTATCGGTTGTTGACACACAGAACTCTGGACAGAGAAGACATCTCAGAATATAACATCACAGTAACTGCCACTGACCAGGGAGCTCCACCCCTGTCTACAGAAACTCATATTTCCTTGCAGGTGTTGGACATCAACGACAACCCACCCACCTTTCTTCACACCTCCTACTCCACCTACATTCCGGAAAACAATCCCAGAGGAGCCTCCATCTTTTCCATGACTGCTCAAGACCCTGACAGTGGGGACAACGCCCGAGTCACTTACTCTCTGGCCGAGGACACCCTCCAGGGGGCGCCTCTCTCCTCCTATGTCTCCATCAACTCCAACACTGGCGTCCTGTATGCACTGCGCTCCTTTGACTATGAGCAGTTTAGAGACCTGCAGCTACTGGTGACAGCCAGTGACAGTGGGAACCCTCCACTCAGCAGCAATGTGTCACTGAGCCTGTTTGTGCTGGACCAAAATGACAATGCACCTGAGATCCTGTACCCCGCCCTCCCTACAGATGGCTCCACTGGTGTGGAGCTGGCTCCCCGCTCTGCAGAGCCTGGCTACCTGGTGACCAAGGTGGTGGCAGTGGACAAGGACTCAGGCCAGAATGCCTGGCTGTCCTACCGCCTGCTCAAGGCCAGCGAGCCTGGGCTCTTCACGGTGGGGCTGCACACAGGTGAGGTGCGCACTGCACGAGCCCTGCTAGACAGAGACTTGCTCAAGCAGAGTCTTGTGGTGGCCGTCCAGGACCACGGCCAGCCCCCTCTCTCGGCCACTGTCACACTCACCGTGGCTGTGGCCGACAGTATTCCTGAGGTTCTAGCTGACCTGGGCAGCCTCAAGCCTTCAGCAGACCCGAATGACTCAGGCCTCACACTCTATCTTGTGGTGGCAGTGGCTGTTGTGTCCTGTGTCTTTCTGGCCTTTGTTATTGTGATGCTGGCACTCAGGCTGCGCCGCTGGCACTCGTCGCACCTGCTCCAGTCTTCGAGAGGCAGGTTGGCAGGTGTGCCCGCCTCACACTTTGTGGGTGTGGACGGGATGCGGGCTTTTCTGCAGACCTATTCCCACGAGGTCTCCCTCACCGCAGACTCGCGCAAGAGCCACCTGATCTTCCCCCAGCCCAACTACGCGGACACACTCATCAGCCAGGAGAGCTGTGAGAAAAGCGAGCCTCTCCTTATAACTCAGGATTTACTCGAAACAAAAGGAGATTCTAATCTTCTTCAGGTGAGTCAATCTTATAATACATCTTACCACATTGAAATATAGACACAGAGCTGTGTAAATGTCTCCAATTATATGAGATGTAATATATCAAATAAAGGTACTTTTAATGTTTTATTGCCTTAAAAGGGAGGGCCAAATGATCCTTCAATAATGATCAATAATGTTTACAAAACCATTGTTTATTATCTATTCTTTGGGTCTTCATTCAGTAGTAGTTTCAGTCAGAATTTCCTAATTTTATACCTATAAACCACCTCGCTTCTTTAAATGTCATTTTCCATTAGATGTTACTGAAAAGATAGCTGAGACCTGTAAAATAGAGGACAATTATGTAAATGAATATTTACAGCATTCTTTCTCATGAAGTTTTGTTGAATCTGGACTGGGGGTTTTCAATTTTTCTCTTTTTATACTCTACCTTGCTTTGCTTGAAGTTATCTTTCCTTGAAAAATTATTTTCAATGAATATTAGACACTGTCAATTGGAGAGTACTGGAAATACATGAATTTAACTTTTAGGTATAACTTTTTTTTTTTTTTTTTTGAGATAGAGTCGCACTCCATCGCCTAGGTTAGAGTGCAGTGGCACACTCGCGGCCACTCCACTGTTGACCTGCTGGGCTCCAGCGATCCTTCAGCTTCAGCCTTCCAAGTAGCTGGAACTACAGGCACACGCTACCACGCCCAGCTAATTTTTGGTTTATTATAGAGACAAGGTCTCGCCAAGTTGCGCTAGCTGGTCTCGAACCCGTGGGCTCAGACAATCCACTCACCTCAGCCTCCCAAAGTACTAGGATTACAGGCTGAGCCACTGAGCCCAGCCAGGTATAACCCTAATAGGATATTTTCTCAGTGGACTATACTTATCAGAAATATTGCCCAGTATATTTCACTTATATTTAAGTAGCTTGCAGGAGTAATTTTAATAATTTAAAAATTGCCTATCATGACTTCACTTTTGAAACCTTCTTGATTTCTAAGGAAAACATAAACTCTAGAGTCTTCCCTTTCTTCATCACGCGAGCCCCTTACAAAGATTGGGTAACTTGAATTCTGAACTGATATGATTCATACTACTTAGTAAGTTGACCTTATTCCTGTTTCTACAAATTGCTCTCAGATAGCTCTGTCACTGTGTGGTTCTGGGATAATTTTATATGAGGGGAAATATTTTATTTGTAAGGTAAATGCAACCTTTTTTCCTCCGTTTCTTCATTTTGTTCTGTTAGTTAATTCAGGATTAACGAATGCATATGGCTACACAAATTAGTGTATTTTGAAAACTGGAAGTTGTGGCAATAGATTGCAGAATATGGCTCAATTCAACATGAAAAGAAGGGCTTTTGTTTCTACGTGGCTTTGTACTCATGGGAAGTTGTGGCGCAATACATAGATTAAACTGGAATATTGTGTGATGCAATTACCTGCTTGGGGAGAAGAAAGAGTAAATAACATGTGAATATTGAAAGACAATTTGTATCAGAGGAGGTTGTTTAAAGTAATGAAGCCATAAATATAATCTGGAAATTATATCAATTGTCCTGAAATTATGTCAAACATATTCAGATGCTGGCATTAGGAATATATTCCAAAATCAGAGTGGTATATGTCTTAAAGGTCAAGAAAAGCAACAGATAATTTATAACCTAATATCAAATGGGAAAAAAAAATTTTGTTTGAATAGGCATTGGATTTTTTTTCAGGAAATAACATTTTTGGTTAAATAAATTATAGTACATTTGTATTATGGATGACTACATAGTTATAAACAAATGGGAAATGTCCCTATGTGCTAATACAAAATAATTTTTAGGATATAATGAATAAAAAAGCAAGGTGGAGAACGTGGTATATTATATGCTTGCGTTTGTGTAAAAAGGGGGAAGAACATTTATAAAAATCTGCTGGGCTATAAAAAACATATCTCTGGAAGAATACACAAGAAATGTTAACACTCATTTCTCCTGGGAGAAATGTCTTATAAAAAGCAGAGATGAAAGGGAGAACCTATGCTGTATTTACCCTTTGAATTTGGGATGACATGAGTCTATCACCTATTTAAAAACAAATAAAGGCTTTATAAATAAAACGAAAGAAAAGAGAAAAAAATTCTTAGCAAATGTTTCAAGCCATTGGTGCAGTTTCCCGAGCAAACCTCTGAGCGTCGCTGTAGGTCAAAAGAATTGAGAGAAGACACCGCAGATGCGTTTGGGAGCCTCTTAAAGGGGAACTTCCTGCCCAAACTAGCCACACAGAAGAGGCCAGCACAGAATCGCATACAGAAAAACAAAAGCAGGAAAAGTGACCCCAGCCCGGACTCTGCCAACCACGGAGGACTTAGCCTCCTACCGGCAAGGGAGCAGAGGAGCGCGGAGGGAGACGGAGAATGACGCCGGGCGCAGGGAGGTGCCGGCCGGCGCGGTGGCTGCAGGTACTGTTGCCCTTCCTGATGTCTTTGTTCCGCGGGGCTCTCCCAGACCAGATCCGCTATTCAGTTCCCGAGGAGCTGGCCAAGAACTCGGTGGTGGGAAGCCTCGCCAAGGACCTGGGGCTCGGTGTCCGGGACTTGCCGTCCCGGAAGCTGCGGGTCAGCGCGGAGAAGGCATATTTCACTGTAAACCCAGAGAGCGGGGACTTACTTGTGGGTGACAGAATAGACAGAGAGCAGATTTGCGGGAAGCAGCCTCTGTGTGTCCTGGATTTCGATACTGTCGCTGAAAACCCACTAAATATTTTTCACGTAGCAGTAATCGTGCATGATATAAATGACAACGCTCCGCTATTCAAGCAGAGTAAGACCGATTTAAAAATTGGAGAATCCACTCAACCAGGTACAGCATTTCCACTAGACCCAGCTCTGGATTCAGATATCGGTCCTAATTCACTGCAAAGATACCACCTTGATGACAACGAGTACTTTGATCTCGCGGAGAAACAGACTCCCGATGGACGTAAATATCCTGAATTGATTCTGAAACATTCTCTGGACAGAGAAACGCATAATTTCCATCAACTGGTTCTCACAGCTGTGGACGGCGGAGACCCACCTAAAAGCGGCACCACCCAAATCAGAATCCAAGTCACGGATGCCAATGATAACCCTCCGGTGTTCAGCCAGGACGTGTACAGGGTCACCCTGCGGGAGGACGTGCCCCCAGGTTTCTCCGTGCTTCGAGTGACAGCCACCGACCAGGATGAAGGCGTCAACGCCGAGATCGCCTACTCCTTTTATCATGTGGACGAGCAAGTGGAACACTTTTTCAGCTTAGATAAAAGAACAGGCGACATCACGACGAAGGATGATTTGGATTTCGAAACTGCTAATAGTTACACTCTGAATATCGAAGCCAAAGATCCTGGAGATCTAGCAGCGCATTGCAGTGTTCAGGTTGAAATTCTTGATGAGAACGACTGTGCACCTGAAGTGATTGTGACTTCAGTATTTACCCCCCTGCCAGAGGATTCGCCGCCAGGAACAGTGATCGCCTTGATAAAGACGAGGGACAGAGACTCTGGAGAGAATGGAGAAGTTCACTGCCGCGTCTTGGAAAATACCAAGTTTATGTTGAGATCTTCCTCGAAAAACTATTATAAGCTAGTGACAGACAGCGTCCTGGACCGGGAGGAGATACCAGAGTACAACGTCACCATCACAGCCACAGACCGGGGCAAGCCGCCCCTCTCCTCCAGCATAAGCGTCACCCTGCACATCTCCGACGTCAATGATAATGCCCCAGTTTTCCACCAGGTCTCCTACGTGGTCCACGTGCCAGAAAACAACCCACCTGGCGCCTCAATCGCGCAGGTCAGCGCCTCGGACCCGGACTTGGGGCCCAACGGCCAAGTCTCCTACTCGATCGTGGCCAGCGACCTGGAGCCCGGGTCGCTGTCGTCCTACGTGTCGGTGAGCGCGCAGAGCGGCGTGGTGTTCGCGCAGCGCGCCTTCGACCACGAGCAGCTGCGCGCCTTCGAGCTGACGCTGCAGGCCCGCGACCAGGGCTCGCCCGCGCTGGGCGCCCACGTGAGCCTGCGCGTGCTGGTGGGCGACCGCAACGACAACGCGCCGCGCGTGCTGTACCCCGCGCTGGGGCCCGACGGCTCCGCGCTCTTCGACACGGTGCCGCGCGCCGCGGAGCCCGGCTACCTGGTCACCAAGGTGGTGGCGGTGGACGCCGACGCGGGACACAACGCCTGGCTGTCCTACCACGTGCTGCAGGCCAGCGAGCCCGGGCTCTTCAGCCTGGGGCTGCGCACGGGCGAGGTGCGCACGGCGCGCGCTTTGGGCGACAGGGACGCGGCCCGTCATCGCCTGCTGGTCGCGGTGCGTGACGGAGGACAGCCGCCCCTCTCGGCCACCGCCACGCTGCACCTAATCTTTGCGGATAGCTTACAAGAGATACAGCCTGACCTTGGCGAGCATCTCGCTCCTTCTAATCCCCAGGAGGAGCTGCAGTTTTACCTGGTGGTGGCCTTGGCCTTGATCTCTGTGCTCTTCCTCCTCGCCGTGATTCTGGCCATCGCCCTGCGCCTGCGACGCTCCGCCAGCCCAGTCGCCTGGGGCTGCTTTCAGCCTGGTCTCAGCTCCAAGTCTGGACCTGGAGTTCTCCCCAATTACAGCGAGGGAACGTTGCCCTTTTCCTACAATCTGTGCGTTGCCTCACAATCAGCTAAGACAGAGTTTAATTTTCTCAGTGTGACCCCAGAAGTGGCTCCCTCCCAAGATCTCCTCTGTGACAACGCCTCTTTGGGACCAAGTACACATTATGAAGATGCTGGGGTCCCATTTACCTCAGATACGATTTTAAAGGTGAGCCTTAATTTAATTCATTTATTTTTACTTCTATTGTTTTATTGTTTCTTTTTGTTTGTTTTAAACATGTGGGGTACAATTCAGGATTAGGTATACAAGTGATCATCGTACAGGTTATTGTTTCTTAACAAATTACTTTGCTTAGCTTGGGTAGCAGGCATCATTGTATATTTTCTTGTCAGTGAGTCCGATTTGGGCAGCGTTCTGCCTTAGTTATCTTATTATTATCTAACTAAATCTTAAGTATGTGTTTTCTATTTGAAGTGTGGGATTTATTTGTCCATAATTACAAGCCTTTACTACATGAGACACTGTACAGTGTTTCTTTTACCTCTTCTTCTTTACATTCCTCTGAAGCTGTTTCACTATTGGAACTTTGAGCACTTTTTTTCACCTTCAGGTTCTTTATTACTCCAATTTTAGTTTTACATTCTCTTGGAATAATAGTTTTTAAGAGTAAAGAGAGTTCTCATTTTACTACTTTGTGAAAATTGAGAACCAAAGAAAGAGTTTTCCTCAATGTCATGGCTTTTTAGCCACAGATCATAGGTCAGAAATTGTTCCACTGACTTGAAGCCAGCCCTCCACATTTCCTTACAAGCTAAGTATCTTGGGATCCCAGATCTGTTTTTAAAGTGTGGGCAACGTTTGAGGTCTGAGGTGTCACCTTGAAAAGTGCATTTCATAAATGTGAGAAATAGCTCTCTAATATGCATATTAACAAAGTACTCTTTAAAAAACTGCACATTGGGAAAAATTTTGCTAGCTATGCTCACAACATTTCTATTAAATATTTCTCAAAACTTTATGGTTTAGAATTTTCTCATCTTAGATATAGAATATCTTCTTTTTCTTAGTTTTCTGTAAAGATATCATTGAGTAAAAATATCTTTTCTCACGTTGATGGACTCTGAAATGTCCACTTTTTTTTCAGTCAGAAGGGTTTTCTGTTTTCAGTTACCATATAAAAAGAGTTGCATTAAATATATGTCTCAGCATAGGAAGGCCACTCACTGTTGCTTGCTGATAAGTATCTGGGTATACTCTCCTGCTTGGATGATGGACTAAAGCTTGTCCACCATAGTCACTATACTGATTGTCACTAAGAGCCTGTCACTGTAGAACATCTAACTGCAAGGATTTGAACATGGAAATAGAAATATATATATAATGCATAGTTAACCCAACTCAAACTCTCGGTCTAAGATAGTGCAGAAACTTTCTCAAAGACCTCATAAGTAACAAAGACCTTTAATCTTTCTGCATATGACAGCTAACATAGCTTGAATCAATCAGTATTCCTTTTGGAAAAGGTGCGTTGAGAGCTGTGTTTCCTTAGCATTCGTGTGTACAAATAAGCCCATTTCCATAAATGTATCTAATAAAAAGATGATATCTTGAGTCCTGAAATCTTGAAAGGTAAGAATTTCAATGTCGTATTTTAATGGACTTAATATAGGTAAGAGGTAAATGAAAGACATCGACTCAATGGTGCATTAAATAAAACTTTTATAAGGAAGTAAGAGCAATCTTATAATTATACTGATCTCAGGGATTCTGGAAGCCTTGCTAGCTATTTCAGAATTAAAGCTTAATTAGCTATTATAAATAACGTCGTGTAGTAATACATTAAGGATATGGCAGAATTATTAGAAATAAACATATAAGGAAACTTAGGGGAAATAAAAATAGAATTTGGTGTAGTAACTGGTTAGGACTCTGGGCGTCGCTGTTCACCAAAGTGGGAAAGAAGCTGCCGCAGAGGAGACTCAACTGTGCTCCTTCCGCACTAAACGCACACAGACCAGACAAGCTCCTGCAAAAAGACACCCACCCGCTCTCCGTTTTTGTCAGGGAATATGTACCCATCGGATTTAGAGAAATAAGGAATCAGCAGGCTGAACCAGGATTGGGTGAAAATTGGGAGAAGAGAAGGCAATGGCGAACCCACCAAGGCGCTGGAGCTGCAGCGCGCTGTTACTGTTCGTCACTCTCCTGGGGACGCAGTTCGAGATAGGATCCGGGCAGATCCGCTACTCAGTGCCGGAGGAGCTGGAGAAAGGCTCTTTCGTGGGCAACATCTCCAAGGACCTGGGGCTGGAGCCCCGGGAGCTGGCGGGGCGCGGAGTCCGCATCGTCTCCCGAGGTAAGACGCAGCTTTTCGCTCTGAACCCGCGAGGCGGCAGCTTGGTGACCGCGGGCAGGGTCGACCGGGAGGAGCTCTGCGCTCAGAGCGCGCGGTGTCTGGTGAGCTTTAACATCTTAGTGGAGGATAAAATGAAAATGTTGGGAGTAGAAGTAGAAATACTCGATATCAATGATAACCCCCCGCGATTCCGGGATGAAGAATTAAAAGTAAAAGTTAATGAAAACGCAGCTGCGGGAACGCGATTAGTGCTTCCTTTTGCGCGGGATGCGGATGTGGGTGTGAACTCTCTCCAAAGTTACCAGCTCAGCTCCAATCTGCACTTCTCTCTGGATGTGATAAGGGGAACTGATGGACAAAAGTACCCGGAGCTGGTACTGGAACAGCCCCTGGACCGCGAGAAAGAGACGGTTCACAACCTTCTCCTCACAGCTCTAGATGGCGGACACCCGGTACTCTCTGGCACCACGCACATCCGCGTGATGGTCCTCGACGCCAACGACAACACACCCCAGTTCACGCGGTCCGAGTACAAAGTGAGTGTTCCAGAGAACGTACCTGTGGGCACTCGGCTGCTCACGCTAACCGCCACGGATCCAGACGAGGGAATAAACGGGAAACTGACCTATTCTTTCCGAAATGAAGAAGACAAAATTTCAGAGACTTTCCAACTTGATTCTGACCTGGGGGAAATCTCAACTATACAATCACTGGACTATGAAGAATCCAGATTCTACCTCATGGAGGTGGTAGCTCAGGATGGAGGTGCTCTTCTTGCCAGTGCCAAAGTGCTGGTCACAGTGCAGGATGTGAATGACAACGCCCCCGAGGTGATCCTCACCTCTCTCACCAGATCCCTCTCTGAAGACTGTCTTCCTGGAACTGTAATTGCGCTGTTTAGCGTGCATGATGTTGACTCTGGAGAGAACGGTGAGATTGCATGTTCTATTCCCAAGGACCTGCCTTTCAAATTGGAAAAGTCAGTTGACAATTACTATCACCTATTAACAATGAGCGCCCTAGACAGAGAAGAGACATCAAATTATAATATCACCTTAACTGCTACTGACCATGGAACCCCACCCCTATCTACAGAAAACCACATCTCCCTGGAAGTAACGGATGTCAATGACAACCCACCACACTTCCCTTATGCCTCCTATTCTACCTCTCTCCCAGAAAACAACCCAAGAGGCATCTCTATCTTCTCTGTGACTGCCCATGACCCTGACAATGGTGAAAATGCTCGGGTCACTTACTCCTTGGCTGAAGCCACATCTCAGGGAGCACCTCTCTCCTCCTATGTCTCCATTAACTCTGAAACAGGCATTCTGTATGCGCTGCAATCCTTCGACTATGAGCAGTTGAGAGACTTACAGTTGTTGGTGACAGCCAGAGACTGTGGGAACCCACCACTCAGCAGCAACGTGTCCCTGAACCTGTTTGTGCTGGACCAGAATGACAATGCACCCGAGATCCTGTACCCTGCCCTCCCCATGGATGGCTCCACAGGTGTAGAGCTGGCACCCCGGTCTGCAGAGCCTGGCTACCTGGTGACCAAGGTGGTGGCAGTAGACAGAGACTCGGGTCAGAATGCTTGGCTGTCCTACCGCCTGCTCAAGACCAGTGAGCCCGGGCTCTTCGCAGTGGGACTGCACACAGGTGAGGTGCGCACTGCTCGAGCCCTGCTGGACAGAGATGCACTCAAGCAGAGCCTTGTGGTGGCCGTCCAGGACCACGGCCAGCCCCCTCTCTCAGCCACTGTCACTCTTACTGTGGCTGTGGCTGACAATATTCCTGAGGTCCTAGCTGACCTAGGCAGCACCAGGACCTTCGTTAACCCTGATGATTCAGATCTCACGCTGTACCTGGTGGTGGCAGTTGTCACCATCTCATGCATCTTCCTTGCCTTTGTCATAGTGCTACTGGCACTCAGGCTGCATCGCTGGCACAAGTCACGCCTGTTGCAGGCTTCAGGAAGTGACTTGGCAGGTGTGCCCACCTCACACTTTGTGGGTGTGGACGGGATGCGGGCTTTCTTGCAAACCTATTCCCATGAAGTGTCCCTCACCACAGATTCTCGGAAGAGTCACCTGATCTTTCCTCAGCCCAACTATGCTGACACACTCATTAGTGAAGAAAGTTGTGAGAAAAGCGAGCCTCTTCTAATACCTGATAAGATCGATGCAAACAAAGAAGAATTGGGAATTGTTCAGGTTAGTTTTCTCTTTTGGTAATGATAACTGGAGAATTTTCATTTGTTTCCTCATTTATTTTTCTGCCATATGAAAAATAAGCTAATTATAAAAATAGAGAATCATTATTTGCTCTATTGGAGATTAATTTTGTTTTAGTTGATAATTTACATTTTCTCCATTTGTTTTCAAATTTTGAGTTTAATGTCTTCTTTTCAACATGTGGTTGTCTTTTTTTAAAAAAGAAAAAAGAAGCCAGGCTCGGTGGCTCAGCCTGTAATCCCGCGCCTTTGGGAGGCTGAGGTGAGTGGATTGCCTGAGCCCGCGGGTTCGAGACCCACCTGGGCAGCGAGACCTCATCTCTACAATAAATCAAAAAATCAGCCGGGCATGGTAGCACATGCCTGTAATTCCGGCTACCCGGAAGGCTGAGGCGGAAGGATCGCCGGAGCCCAGCAGGTCGAGGCTGCGGTGGCCGGGAGCGGCCACTGCACTCCAGTCTGGGCGACAGAGTGAGACTCCGACTCAAAAAAAGAAAAAAGAAAAAAGAAAAAATCTAGCTGATGTCTGTAGACTGAAGTGAAACAAATACCTTAAAAGCGGTTAAACACAATCATTTTACCCAAAGATTTTGCTATATTTGAACTGCTATTCTGTTAATAGAAGAGATAGTTTATTAGTTCAAATGATTAGATGCATTGTTTTCTTTTGAACATTTGCTTAGACACCATTACTGAACACATTTTGGAGAGGATATTGTGCTAGATTAATATTTTCATATACCCAAAGTTTGCATAAGTAAATAATTGATGATGCTTGCATAAATCAGTGGAAAAGGATAGAAAACTTCTGCACAATAAATATCAGAAAAGTAGATTAAATGTATATTGATGATTATATGTAGCATGATAAAATCTGAAATGTTTGGGCTAAACCATGTGACTATTGTATATGTGAACTTGCTGAGAGAAGAACCTTAGTACTGTGCTTTGTTCTGTGATGTAGTTTAAAGTCTCCAAAGAGAGAGACACTGCTCCATTCAATAAATATAAATATGTCATACACCTAGCATCTTATTACAGGCAGCCTGTTTGCTTATTAGAACCAGTATCTACTGAAATGTTCACATTTCTTCAGGTGTAGATAAAAGTCTTCCTCATTACCAGAGACTAGGGTCTGCATTTGAAAAATCAATTTAGCTTAAGAATGGCTTGAAATTCTAATCACTTTTAAAAGATGTGCTCATCTTAAATGAATAGATTTGTCTTAATGAAATACCGGTCTATGAGTGTCAAATTTGAGGAGCCATGAGTTGTGTAATGAAAGAACTACTCAACTTACTTTCTGCATCTGACTTGCCAAAGCTGGTTTTCAGTTGCTTCTTGTTAAAAAATTTTAATCTTTCACATATTATACTTTCAACACCTGCAACATAAGCTATAAATCATGACTACATAAGAGAAAATGATAGTAGAATATTATTAATGTGATAGTAAGCTACATTACTCAACCACATGAAAGTTTTATTGACACACTGAGAAAGCTGAGACCACTTGATTTTTTAAACATTTACTTAAAGAGCATTCAATTATATGTATATGCAGACAATTCTACCTCATTGTAAAGTGCACAGGTTCCCTGAAGAGGGAATGTATCCAGAGAGTAATGAGAGACTGTATGATAGGTGATACCATCATTCAGTTCTATGTGAAAACTCACTTTTCCATTATTTTTTAAAGAAAAAGTTCTAGATTTGGGTAAGTGTTTTCTGAGTTAACTTTTTGTGCAATGGAAAAATTTCTTTTAACCCTCTATAATTTACTAACAGACTTTATAAGATGCTTGATCCATACATGCATAATGAATATTAAGAGTATATTCCATCTACTCTTTTGAAAATCTGAATCTTTATTTTGATATGCACCCTGAAAGATAGTTTTTCTGCACTAATTGAAGTGTTCATACAATGGTGGGCCAGTACTTGCTTGAGCATGTTTTGTAGCAAAGTCTTGGGTCAATGATTTTTTTTATGTTTGTATGAATTAAAGTTGCCAGTGAGTGACTGTCTAGAATCCTGGATACAATAAGCAGTTTAAGATGCTCTAATACTTTCCCCCCATAAGGTGAGTTCAGTGTTGCTGTACACCTGTCAAGTTTTAGAATAAAAATACATTGTGTAGGTTAAAGATAATTTTTATGAAGATTTTCTAGTTTCAAAATGGAATTAAAACTGTAAGACACTTGTCATAAACATGAAAGATGGCATGTTACTGCAAAGGAAAAGTGTAAATAACAAAATGTTGGGATGATCAGATGATAACCTGGGTACCCAAGAAAAAGTGTACAACATAGATTACTTATGTAATAAAATAAGGACTCATACTTTACTCTCCCACCCAAACAGCTCACAATTGTTAAGCTACTTGGAAAGGAACAATACAATTGAGGACACCTGTAATATAATGTGGAAATGTACCCTTTGTGGAATAGTTTTTCGACTGTAGTCATTTGATTAAAAATAGACACTTGACAACTAAGGAAAAGAGAGTCTCTTGCTTCTTACTGCACTTCTTTTTCATAAGGACAATCAATCTCCTTGCTTACTTATCAATTATTTTGGGAGAAGATGATAAAAATAAGAGGAATGTGACATGTAGAATAAAAGTAAAAGCTGTGAGATGTCAAACATTTATAAGTTAGAAGAAAAGGAAAAAGAGTGGAGTAACAATACACATAAAGTTGACATTTCAAGCCTTTTTGTGCTACATCTTTGGCCATCACCAACAATATATTTCGTTTGTTTGCTTTTCTATATATTATTATTTCATTTGGGCTTCATTTCTACAAAGGTAAACAAGGAAGAGGTTATTACAACCATTTTATAAAAGTATGACAATGCCAATAAAAATCTTAAGATTGCCTCTGCCCTTTGACAAGCAAAAAGCACTTGATTTGGATGGATAAAGTTCAAGTTAAAAGAAATTACAGCCAGACTAAAGATATAGTAAATATTTTTTAAAAAAAATTTAAATCCTTGTAAAATAGGAAGAATGAGTGTCACTATCAGTATTCAGTCGAATTTTCTCCTAGCCGGCTCCCCGTTTGGAACTGCTTTAGTCACCACTACTGCAGTTCTGCCGCGGAGGTGCGGGGTGCAGCCGTTGGCCAGCGCTGAGCCAAGTGTCGGCTCCTCCCTCCGCAGCGGAATTGTCAGCGGAAGGGGGAAGGCAGAAAAGTGCACTCTCTCATCCTTCCTGCAGCGGAGACATCCGTCAGAGAACCCAGGAAGCAAGACAAAGCAGGTCGTCGCTCCTGCTCGGAGAACTCTTGGAGTTGTTTGGAGACCTCTCCTCTGAGCTAGAAAGGCAAAGGCGCAGAGAGCGGAATGGGAAACGTCTCGGAATGGAGAGGCCCAGCAGGGCGGGGGCGAATGCCATTTCTTTTCCTGCTGCCTTTGTTCTGCCCGGCGCTCTCGAGCAGATCCACTACGCTATTCCTGAGGAGTTCTCTGGCCATGGGCGCTCTGGTGGGGAACCTCGCCAACGATCTGGGGTTTGGCGTGCGGGATCTGCCTACTCGGAACCTGCGGGTTAGGGCAGAGCAGAAATTTACTGTGAGCACCGAAAATGGGGACTTACTTGTGAACGATCGTATAGACAGAGAGCAGATTTTTTTTTTTTTTTTTTTGAGTTGGAGTCTCACTCTGTTGCCCAGACTGGAGTGCAGTGGCCGCTCCCGGCCACCGCAGCCTCGACCTGCTGGGCTCCGGCGATCCTTCCGTCTCAGCCTTCCAAGTAACTGGAACTACAGGCGCGTACTACCACGCCCGGCTAATTTTTTTGATTTTTATTGTAGAGATGAGGTCTCACCAAGTTGCCCAGGCGGGTCTCGAACCCGCGGGCTCAGGCAATTCACTCACCTCAGCCTGCCAAGGCGCGGGATTACAGACTGAGCCACCGAGCCCGGCTGAGAGCAGATTTGTGGCAAGAAGTCAATGTGTGTTCTGGAATTCGAAATGATTGCTGAAAAACCTTTAAACTTTTTTCAAGTAACTGTGCTGATCCAGGATGTTAACGACAACCCACCGACTTTTAGCCAAAATATCACTGAACTAGAAATCAGCGAAATGGCACTGATTGGCGCCACCTTTGCTCTGGAATCTGCTCAAGATCCTGATGTAGGTGCCAATTCGCTGCAGCAGTACTACCTCAGCCCCAATCCGCACTTTTCGTTGATTCAGAAGGAGAACCCAGATGGCAGGAGGTACCCAGAGCTGGTATTGAAAGCGCCACTGGACAGGGAGGAACAGCCCAGCCACCACCTGGTCCTCGCAGCTGTCGATGGTGGGGAGCCCTCCAGAAGCTGCACTACCCAGATCAGGGTAATTGTCGCAGATGCAAATGATAACCGCCCAATATTCACCCAGGACATGTTCAGGGCCAATGTTCAAGAGAACCTGCCTGCCAGATCCTCAATATCAAGAGTGAAGACCACTGACCTGGATAAAGGTGTCGATGCAGAGATCACCTACGCCTTCATCAATATTGGTAAGGCAGCGAGACAACTGTTCAGGCTGAACTTTAACACTAGGGAGCTCACTACTAGTGAAGGACTGGAGTTTGAGGAGAGAGATCGTTACGCAGTTGGAGTGGAAACCAAGGATGGCGAGCATCACACGGCATATTGTAAAAGACAAATAGATGTTTTGGATGAAAATGACAACGCCCCTGAGATAACCCTGGCTTCTGAATCTCAACATCTACAAGAAGATGCTGAGCTGGAAACTGCTATTGCCCTCATCAAAACACATGATCTAGATTCTGGACTTAATGGGGAGATCTTGTGCTGACTAAAAGGAATTTTCTCCTTTAAAATAGTTCAGAAGCACACACAGGTTGGTGACAGATGGAACCCTGGACCGAGAGCAGATCCCAGAGTACAATGTCACCATTACAGCCACCATTACAGCAATCCGCCTCTATCCTCTAGCACAAGCATCACTCTGCACATCATTGACGACAATGACAGTGGTCCAATTTCCCCCCAGGCCTCCTACGTGATCCACGTGCCAGAAAACAACCAGCCTGGAGCCTCCATTGCACAAGTAAGCGCTTCCGACTCCGATTTGGGGCCCAATGGCCAAGGCTCCTACTGGATCGCGGCCGGTGACGGGGAGCCGCGGGCGCTGTCGTCCTACGTGTCCGTGAGCGCGCAGAGCGGCGTGGTGTTGGCGCAGCGCGCCTTCGACACGAGCGGCTGCGCGCCTTCGAGCTGACGCTGCAGGCCGGCGACCCGCGCGTTATTTGTGCTGAGGGCTCGCCCGCGCTCAGCGCCCACGTGAGCCTGCGCGTGCTGGTGGGCGACCGCAACGACAACGCGCCGCGCGTGCTGTACCCCGCGCTGGGGCCCGACGGCTCCGCGCTCTTCGACACGGTGCCGCGCGCCGCGGAGCCCGGCTACCTGGTCACCAAGGTGGTGGCGGTGGACGCCGACTCGGGACACAACGCCTGGCTGTCCTACCACGTGCTGCAGGCCAGCGAGCCCGGGCTCTTCAGCCTGGGGCTGCGCACGGGCGAGGTGCGCACGGCGCGCGCTTTGGGCGACAGGGACGCGGCCCGTCAGCGCCTGCTGGTCGCGGTGCGTGACGGAGGCCAGCCGCCCCTCTCGGCCACCGCCACGCTGCACCTAATCTTTGCGGATAGCTTACAAGAGATACAGCCTGACCTTGGCGACCACGCCGCTCCCCGCTCCCTCTGACCCGCAAGCGGAGCTACAGTTTTGCCTTGGCCTTGATCTCAGTGCTCTTCCTCGCGGTGATTCCGGTCGTCGCCCTGCGCCTGTGATGCTCCTCCCGCCTCAACGCTTTCAACCTGGTCTTTGCTCCAAAACTGTACCTGGAATTTTCCCTCACTATCGTAAGGGAACTTTGCCTTATTCCTACAATCCGTGTGCTGCTTCACGTTTCTCAAAGACCAAGTTTAAATTTCTCAATATAAATCCTAAAAGTGCTGCACCACAAAATCTTCTGTGTGATGCAGCCACTTGGGTTGAAGGTACCCATCATGACAATCCGGAAATGCCTTCTACTTCAGGAAGTTTGCAACTGGTGAGATTCTTCAACACTTTCTACCCATAAATATAATTAGGTCTTATTCATTGATTTAAATATAAAACGTATACAGATTAACTATGACCTGATGTCATTGTGTTTTATTGGCTTTATGGCATAGAATGAGGGACTAGGGGCCAGACTCGGTGGCTCAGCCTGTAATCCCAGCACTTTGGGAGGCCGAGGCGAG